CTCGGATAGTACCTTTAGAAATAAAGTTTTCCCAAATAGTGAATATGGTACTTCCACCATGACTTGTGTACGACCATTCTCATTTTAAAATTGAAAGATAACCCAACCTTTATCGTGGGGTTTAAGCTTGCATCTTACACCCCATTTAGTAGTGAGTTCATACATGCAATGGCTTTCAACCCGGGGAATCTTCCCGCAAAACACCTGACAAGACAAAACCCCATACCTCAATGATAGTAGGAAACTTTAGGTTTGAGAAATAAACTTTAGGGAAAACTATCAAATAAACCCTCGTACAATAACATAAACATCGATTAAGCCCTCATACTCTAAAATAAATCAATCAACTCCTCAAAGTTACAAAAAACATTCAAATCAGCAATTTAGTCGGTCATTTTCTAGCTTGCTGGATAGCAACTCACCTGTTGTCTACGTGTCACTATTTTAAATTCATTTGGTATATTCTTTTGTTAGAAAAAGTCAATATATGTCTTCCTCATCTATCGAGGTCATACGCTGTAATACTTAAGATTTAATATAAATGGATTAATAGTACTACTCATACCAACAAGATGCATCTCCTTTTAAGGGAGCTCATCACCAAGAACTCCAAAGTTAAACGTGCTTGCACAGGAATAGTCCTGTGCTGGGTGACCCCCCCTGAAGTTTCTCAGGGTGTGCATGAGTGAGGACAAAGTGCGCGGAAAAGGCTAGTGGCGGTTTGTGAGGACAGTACTAGAGGTCTGGAGGGTGTGTGGAGTAACTACCTCGGTTCCTGCAGGACCGGGGTGTTACAAATGGTATCAGAGCAACCCTGTGACACAGCTGACCCGTTGGATATCGGGCAGACACTTGGCGGGGGAGGATTCTGGGATTTGATTGAGATTTTGTGATTGATTTATGGGCGCAACGAGGACGTTGCGTTCTTAAGTGGGGGGTGATTGTAATATTTGAGATTTAATATAAATGGATTAATAGTACTACTCATACCAACAAGATGCATCTACTTTTAAGGAGCTCATCACCAAGAACTCCAAAGTTAAACGTGCTTGCACGGGAGTAGTCTTGGGATGGGTGACCCCCTGCCCCCCGAGAAGTTTCTTAGGGCGCGCATGAGTGAGGACAAAGTGCGCGGAAAAGGCTAGTGACGGTTTGTGAGGACAGTACTAGAGGTCTGGAGAGTGTGTGGAGTAACTACCTCGGGTCCCGCGGGGCCGGGGTGTTACATATGCTCCCCACAATCAATCTATATTCCTCATAGACAACGAATCGATCGACGATAAGAAATGCCCTTCGAGTCTCCAACAACTCTAACCGAAGCTACCAACTATCGAGTAGGGATGAATCCGACTAGGGCTCTGCTCCTTAGAGAACAATCTCTGGCTTCCAAGAACCTGCTATTCTTGAAATTTTTCTAGACTGTCAACGCTTGTTTGGATTCGGTTATTTTCCCAGCGTAAAGAACTCCATCAACAACCCCTCAGAATCTCAGTTGGCAGCAACCAGCAGCACAATCGTATCTCCGGCGATCGATTCATCACATTACCAAATAGCCATGACATTCAATTCCTATAAGGAATCTACTATAGCAAAAGCGACCACCAGTGGCTATCAAGCTTCATTTTCAATGGTCACCCTGATCGATCACCGACGATGAATTCCAATCCGACCTGCTAGTATATGTAACTTCGTATAATCCTCCTCATTCCATTGTCCACATCCAAACGGTGTGTTGTTTTTGTTTTTATTCATTTTGGATGAATATTAAATCATCTCCCATGATTAAATCGTATAGGTGAGGTCCAGAAGCTCTACAGACGTGGTGGAGTATATGTTTTAGGAAGACATAAAGCGGTTGACTTTTGCTAAAATAATTATTTATACAAAAATAATTAAAAATAGGACATGACACATGGTAACAGGGAAACTGGGAGGTGATAGGTTAAATAGCCACTTCAAACACTTTTAATAAGTTTGAGGGCTTGATCGAGTGATTTTGAAGTACGAGTGCTTAATTGACGTTTTTTTATATAATACGAGGGCTTATTTGATAGTTTTTCCTAAACTTTTTCCCCCTTTAGAAGGATATAATCAAGCTTCATACCATGGCACAAAGATTGGTTATCTTGGTAAAGATCAACCCATGGTTTCTTCGTGGTGTCAACCTCATGCTCATCCTCCCTACCACACTGGTAGTAAAGAACTTCATCAACAACTCCTTAGAATCTCAGATGGCAACAACACAGTGGCATCTCCTGCGATCGATTCATCATATTACCAAATAGCCATAACACTCAATTCCTATGAGTGGATTTAGTGTTTTCATTTCCAATTTCAATAGATTCATCATCTACTACCTCTCAATTATGTCCTTGTTCGTCAGATGCTCAAGTGAAGTTGCATTAGAAGAACCAGCCGTAACTGCTAGAGAAACCTCCCTTGATGCCACGAAATTAGGTTTGTCCTTCGCTACAACAACCTTTTCTAAAGATGTCACGGTAGTAGAGGATGGCGCAGGAGTAGCCGTTCCAGTTGAAGTAGTTGTAGACTTGTAGTCCTCGAACAAACACTCTACTCAGTTGCCTTGGCCTTGGCTTCCATTGCACTTTTCTTAGCCTGTAACAACCTCACCTTTTCTTCAAACTGATGGTCCTTCAATGGAGGAGTTCATTTTTGCTTATTCCCCTTAGTCATGTTGGGGAAAAAGATGAACCGCGTCAGCCTCACAAAAGAATAGCCCAGAAAATTTTCACAAACCACTGGTGCGTACTCCTGGTTATGGTGAGCACCACACTACGTTTTATTTTCTTTTTCAGTGATTAAGGATTCCAGAAAACATCTCTAACCAGTCCAGACACGCACACAATTACTATAACAAAGAAGAAAAGGAGAATTTTTGGGGGAACTAACTTTGAGCAGCCAAAAGAGGTGACAATGGATGTGTCTCAACTATGTGATGCCCAATTCATCCTCAGAATCCATATTGAACATCAGAATTTTAAGAGTCTTCAAAAATCGAATCTGAGAATTTACCGTCCACCTCCCCAACGACTAATGAAGAAACCAGCCAGATGGGGTCTTTAGCTACCGGGAAAGGATGGGTAGGTTCACCAAGGGATGGTGACCCCCAATCCAAGCTCCGAATCCAGAATCAATTGTCCAATTTTGAATTATGAGTGAAAAAGAAACATTGAATGAAAAGTAAAAAGGGGGGGGAGTAAATCCACATTCTTTCTAGAGGGTTTTGTTTTAGCTAAAATCAATACGAAAAGGTAGGGGTGAGATTTTGGAACCGGGAACCGTAGAACCGATTGGAACCGAACCGTTAACAACATCTAGGAACCGAACCGTTAACAATTAATGCCTCATTTGTAGGAACCGAACCGAAGCGGGTTATAACGGTTCGGTTCTCGGTTCCTATAAAAAATATGTGCATGGAACCGTTAAGGAACCGTTTTTAAAAAAAATAAAAAATAAAATAATATTAGTAGTAGTAGGAACAACAACAACAACAACAACAACAATATAATAATATAATAGCAATAATAACCACCGCTACAACAACAATAATAATAAAACAATATAAGATATTTAACTAACAATTCTAATTTAATCAACGGAAAAGAAGTAATAAATATTGTACATGAGGTTGATATAATACATTAAACTCCTTTCTACAAATCAAGTTTTGTTCCATCACATAAATTTTATAAATATAAAATAACCCAAATAACTTGTACTACGTAGTTGATTGCACATATTTTACTTTACTATTTTCATGATATTTCTAATTATTAGATTTATTATGAATCAATAAAATGTAATAATGTTTTTTTATATCTATACATTCAAACTTTATGTCTTTTTTTTATGTTTTGAAAGACTTGAAGTAGGCGTCCTATTCTTGCTACTATGATGACGAGTAACCTTCATCGCTCCGACACTACAACGATTTTTAATGTTTCATTTATTACATGAAAATTTAAATCACTTTTGTTCTATTAAGTGTTCAAAGTAAATTAGTTAAGTTTGAGCTTTGATGTTTGAAGTGATCAGAGCTTCAAATAAAATTTTAATACTCGTGTTTTGAATTTTCGACGTGTTTAAAATTATGTGTTAATTCTTAGACGAGAAAAAATTATTCTAGGAACCGGTAAAAGGAAGAACCGAACCGTTTACTACCGGTTCGGTTCCATAACGGTTCTTGATTTTTTATATAGGAACCGAACCGATTTCATTAGTTAAAACTTTTATAACGGTTCCACTTATTTTGAGTAAGAATCGAACCGGTCCCAGCCCTACGAAAAGGACCCAATTCAATACAAAAAGTGAATTCCAACCAAGGATATCCAAGCTTGGATACATTCATCCAACGTGACTCTTTTCTTCACTGAAAAAACAATACAAGGTAACATTTAGAGTCAATTTGGTAATACTGACATTGGCTAAATCGGCAAAATTGATAAAATTCTAATTGAAACAACTGTATTGTTTGAATTTGCTGAATTATGAAAAATATATTTAAAAGACACTAACTCCATCCCAGCTTAAGATTTTCACTTGCTTCTTTTGGGTGTCTAGATAAAGATTCTAATTTCTATTTTAGAAAATAATTAACACTTAAATGATAATATTTTTGAAGATCTTTTAAATGATATTTCAATCATCATTTTTTAAAAATAATAGATCTATAACATCACAGTTATCATTAATGACATCATTATATTATATACTCAACAAAACTAATTGTCAAAACGGGTTTAATTATTTTAATTATTAGAACTATCTGATTTAATTTTTGTCTAAATAACCATGTCATTTTGCATTGAAAACCATAAGCTGAGATGGATGTAGTAACTTATTGATACAGAGAACAAAACAGATGAAAATAACTAAAATGATCTTCTACAATCACTTTTATCAATTCCGTCAGTAAAATAATTACAACCTTATTTATATTGATTATTATACAATTCAGCAAGTGAAATCAAAGAATACGTGTTTAATAAAAAATTAACTTATAAGGTTGATAAGCTAAAAAGTGGGGTTACCCAAATGAGGTATATTCCCACAAAATTTGACAGTTGAGGTTGATTGGGCACTGTTTTTGATAAAACTCATTTAGTCACAATATGAAGGAAACATAAAGGAAAGCATCCACCTAGTGAAGCCTAATACTCTACTAGTAGTATATAAAGACGATTCCTCAAATAGGAATAAAACATGGAGAAAGTGCAAAAGTAGAAGTAGATTTCTGAATTTTCCAAATTAGGTTTTTTTATAACTTGGACAAGAATACCTCCGGAGGAGTTGCTACCCGAGCTGCCGCCAGCCGATCAGCCGCTCCTGCTGTTGGAATCCGCCAAAATTTCCAAAATGCTTCCTCCACCAACCTGCCGCAGCCGGTCTCCTCCGGACCTCCGCCACCACCACCAGTGATGCTCCAAATTCCAAACCAACCCAACAGGACTCTATGAAAGACTATGACCAAAACTGCCTAGCAAAAAACTAGATACTAAATGCAAAGACAAAGAACAACTGTGTCTAGAGAAATTGGCTATGTTTGTCTTCAGTGTTTCAAACCAAAATGCCAAAATCTGTTGAGCCTAAAACACTACAAAAAGCAGCGTGTCGGGATGGCGTTTTTGCCCGTCCGCCAAAGAACAAACGCAGCCATTGTATTATTGGTTTGTGACAGTGTATGATCAAAGAACTCAAGGACGCTAGCATCAATCAATGGTCCGTGAATAGCTGCTGCTCATGAGAAAAGAGAGATACATGCAGTTTTAGGAGTATCTTTTCCCACAAGAAATCAAACTCGTGGAATTGCAAATTTCCCAAGTCTTGGAGATAGAATCGAATGTGCATCCACCACATTCAGTACCTTGGGTATAGACAAGCCACCGGAGATGACAATTTCTGCATCATTTTACAAGTTGAAACAAGTGTCATTATTGTGAAAACTACTATGCAATTATTACTACATTGGGTCTATCTGGACCTTAATACACCCCTTCGGCCCAAACTGGACAACACGACTTGATTACATTGCACCTAACTCATCCTAAAAGACAAAGTTTATCTCACACATTCACACTTATATATTAGTCATACTAGTACAGCTATAAGGTGAGGTTTTAGCTATAGTTTAGTGTTCACCTATTGCTTCTCGTACTGAAAGGTTTGGCCTCATGATGTCTTTGGAATTGACCAAGTAGATATCGCCAAGGTAGAGGTGGTTAGTTGGGAGGTAGACGCAACAGAGTTCCTCGGGACCCGAACTCTTCTGGAGAACCAGAGATGAAGTGATGAAGCCTAGTGCATACTCTCCATGGCGGGGATGCTTTATTAACGCAACTTCTTTGAAAGCGTGAGAGTTCTGATCTGGGAAAGTGATTTTCTGCATGCTTTTTAATCTATCAAATATTACCATATGGTAATTATTATATAGCAAAGTCAGTCATTAGTTTACCTGGTGAAATTGCTGCACTGATTTGTTTGGAAGCAGAATACACATAACTTATGAGGGGCATCTTTTTTATGAACCACTCTCCTAAACCAAGTAGAGAAGCACCTACCCATGACGAGATGAACACTCCAACCAAAAAGATGAAAGTTATAGAGGTAACAAATCCAAGACCTGTACAATTAATATTGAAGTAGAATCATATTCTTGGAATGAAAATAAAAGAATACATCAAAATCTTCCTCAAACAGCTTCATTCACCTCCATAGACATATGAGAATGTGAAAGTTGTCAATATACATCAATATGGTGCCGCCTAAAATAAAAGTTGTGTAAACTAAAAAGTGACTAAAGAAATAACTGAATTTATGAACACAAGTTCATCATGAAATCCAGTCAACCCCACAGACATTGCCTTCCCGATGGATTTATTTTATTACTCAGGTATTTTTGAAGTTTTTCTGTTTTACCAGTCACTACATTATTCCAACTTGTCTAAACTCAACAAATTTGTGAGCACCCCTGGATTAATGGAACAATCCAGGTTGGCTAGTAAGGGGGTGTTTGGAATTGATTCTGCTTCTGCTTATTTTTTTAAAGCTGAAGCAGAATCAGAATAAGTTTTCAGAAGCTGGTCTCCCCCATCTTCTAAAAAAACTGATTCTAGGAGTAAATTAGACCACCAGAATCACTTCTGCACTTACGCCCAAACACTCCAACTTCTGCTTCTGCTCCCTGAAGGAGCAGAAGCAGTTTTAAGAATCAGATATTCCAAACACCCCCTAAAACTGTTGGCCCTTACATCACAGTCAATTCCCATAATGCATGATATCAATCTTGCTTGTGCTTTCTCATCAAAAGAAAAACATGTGTATAGCTTCAACAACGACCATGCAACAAACTCAGTCAGGCAGTAACGAAAGAGATGCTTTTCTTGAGTAGATACGACATATATTAGCCAGGCTGGAAGCCTGGAATGCACAGAAAGAAACTAAACATGATACTCACCAAATACATTGACTCCAAGGTGACTATAGATTGGAGAAAAGAAGCCATCAACAAAATAAATGAACCACCATGTTATGTAGAAGGTTATGGCTATGGGAAATAAGATGACACTGCAAAAAGAAGTGAGTCTTGTCAATTCCAAAGGGTATCAACAATATTCAAAGCACCAGTTCAACTTATATGTCTGCGTGAGCACGTAGACCTTTTAGAAATAGTCAAATAACAATAATCAATACCAATAATATTACTCTCTATGTGCGGAAATGATGTCCACTTTGGCCGAGCATAGGATTTGTTGATTTTGGAGGAGAAGCTTTTTGTATTACTTATTCTGATCAGACATCATGACTCCCATATATATAAGGAAGTAGATGATACATTAAATGACAAAAGAAAACTAAAAGTCATAAAGGAAAATGAAAAGTTAAGCTACCGGAAAGTCTGGAATATAAAAAACATATGCTTTAAATGCTATTTCCCAACACTCCCCCTCAAGCTGGAGCACATATATCATGGGCTCCAAGCTTGCTGCATATATAATCTATTCTTGGTCTTCTAAGAGGCTTAGTGAGCACATCTGTCAATTGATCTTTTGAATTTACAAAAGTAGTGATGATGTCTCCAGATTTGATCTTGTCTGTGACGAAATGACGGCCCACTTCTATATGTTTGGTTCTTTCATGAAAAACTGGATTTGTTGCAATGTGTAGGGCTGCTTGGTTATCACATATCAACCTCATGGGTCTGAATTTGCAGAAATTGAGTTCTGACAGAAGATTTTTAACCCAAATTAACTCACATGTTCCAAGAGCCATCGCACGATATTCGGCTCTGCACTTGATCGTGCCACCACTTCTTGTTTCTTACTCTTCCAAGAAATCAAATTTCCACCCAAAAGTATACAATAACCTGTGGTGGATCTTCGATCCCATGGGCACCCAGCCCAATCTGCGTCAGTATAGCCCAAGATTTTTGTGTGTCCGTGATTCTGAAATAACAACCCTGTATCTGGTGCTTGTTTAATGTATCTTAAGATACGGGTGATAGCATTCCGGTGGCTCTCACACGGTGATTGTAAAAACTGACTTGCAACACTTACAGCAAATGAGATGTTAGGACGTGTAATAGTGAGGTAAAGAAGTTTTCCAACAAGTCTTCTATATCTACCGGGATTTGATATAGGCTCCCCCTGTCCCGGTAGAAGCTTGTCAATCGGCGTATCAATTGGCTTACAGTTTGTCATACCAGCTTCTTCAAGAATATCTAAAGCATACTTTCTTTGTGATATGTACACTCCTTGTTTTGACTGTGCAACTTCAATACCTAGAAAGTATCTCAATTTGCCAAGATCTTTTGTTTCAAAATGCTGAAATAAATGCTTCTTAAGAAGTTTTATTCCCTCTACGTCATCACCTGTGATCACAATATCATCCACATAAACCACAAGGTAGATATTAAGGCCCTTTTGGATTATGTAAAATACAGAATGGTCAACTTTACTTTGAATCATGTTAAATCTTTGTACTAGTTCACTGAACCGTCCAAACCAAGCACGTGGGGACTGCTTCAACCCATACAATGAGCGTTTGAGGCGGCAAACCAAAGTCACATGGTTCGCGGAACGATTCGGTACGGGAACGAGGAACGGGAACGCGGTTCGCTAGATCTAGCGTATCCAGTTCGGAGGGGGGTAGGTTCATTTCGGTACGCGTTCGGTACGTTGTACCACATGTTCGGTACGTGGTATCTTATATCTTGATAATATAATGAAACTAAATTTAAGATTTCACAAGTCCTAACAAATACAGATTTCCTAATCATAAGTCATAACATTAAACAAAATAAAAAACACTAATATTCCAGAAATAAAAAACATTAATATTCCAGAAACTGAAGAGAAAAAACTAATAAAGTCGCAAAAGTGGACTGGTGTAGTAGGCTCAGAAGACTAAGTGTTTTCCGTCCAACCGAAGAAGACTAAGAGTCTGAGTGTTTGGCGTAAGAAGACTATAAGTGTTCCCAACGTTTCCCTCAATTTATTAGTAGGCTCAGAAAGCGAAGAGCCTGGTCCGAAATTCTTGCGCTTGTTAGTAAAACGAGGGAAACGAAGCGCTGACCTGTTTCAATTTTGGGAAACGACGATTCAATCTGGGCAAGGACGGGAAGCGACGACTCAAGCTGCGCAAAGATGGGAAACGGCGATTAAAATCGCTTTGAACAGCGTTTGGGATCGAATCGAAGAGCGATTGCGAGCGATTGGGAAGAGCGACTGGGATCGACTCAACCACCGTACCGTTTAGCGTTCCCGTATGCGACCGGATCGATTTCGTACCGCGTTTGGGTACGGAACGACCGGTACGCAGATCGTGTCTTCCCCAACGATTTATGTATCTATGCGGCAAACTAGATCAGCTCCCCCAGAAGCAATGAATCCCGGAGGTTGTTCCATATAAACCTCCTCCTTTAGATCTCCATGCAGGAATGCATTTTTAATATCTAATTGATGTAAGGGCCACTGTCGTACTGCTGAAATAGCCAGCAAAGTGCGAACTGATGCTATTTTTGCAACTGGGGAGAATGTATCAGTATAGTCGATTCCATACACTTGTGTGTATCCTTTGGCTACAAGCCTAGCTTTGAGCCGGTCTACCATGCCATTAGGACCAACCTTGACTGTGTATAACCATCTGCAGCCGACCACAGGTTTATTTGGTGGTAGAGGCACAAGTTCCCGTGTCCCTGACGAGTGAAGAGCTTCCATTTCATCAAGCATGGCCTTTTTCCAACCTGAATGACTCAATGCTTCCTCGACACTTTTAGGGACAGAAACAGAAGAGAGACGTGTAATAAAGGCACAATATGATGGTGACAGATGATTGTATGAGAGGAAATTATATATAGGATAAGGATTGCGAGTGGATCTTTTATCAATTCTGCTGGCAATGGGAAGATCATTAGTTATCTCTTGGACCGACTCTTGAGGCGACGGCTCAGCACATGAATCACTTGGATTAATACCTTCTTTTTCTGTTGGATGATGATAAGGCTTACCAGAATGATGTCGATGGTGATAGGTATAAGGGAACTCAATAATACAGTTCTTTGGAATGTCACTGGGAGTTCCTTTTTCAGGGATGGCCAGTGATGTAGGTTCAGGTTCAAGAAAGTTTGGGACTGACAGAACGGGTTCATGTTCTTTGAAGGGCTGCATAGGGACAATTTCTGTAGAGTCATCAGTAAAGTTTGATTCCTCAAGAGAAGAAGAAGAATGGGAGAAATATGGAGTAGACTCAAAGAAAGTGACATCAAAAGATGTATGTATACGCTTTGACCTAGGACAGTAACATCGGAAGCCTTTTTGAAGATGAGATAACAAGAGTGAAGAATGGCTTCCCCCCAAAGGTATTTAGGTACCTTGTAATGAATAAGCATGGTTCGGGCAGTTTCCACAAGATGTCGATTCTTCCGTTCAGCCACTCCATTTTGTTGAGGAGTGTCTGGACAGGAAGATTCATGAAGGATCCCATGACTGTCCAAAAATTTAGAGAAGGACTCAGAAAAATACTCCTTGGCATTGTCACTTCGAATGGTTTTTATCACCATCCCAAACTGAGTTTTTATTTCATTGACAAATTTTTGAAATATACTGAAAAGTTCAAACCAATCTTTCATCAAATAGATCCAAGTACAACGAGAAAAGTCATCAATAAATGTAACAAAGTATTGAAATCCAAAGATAGACTTAACTCGACTCAGTCCCCATACATCAGTATGAATAAGAGAAAAGGGAGCAACTGCCCGTTTATTTATCCTATTTTTGTAGGAAGCTTTAGATTGCTTTCCTAACTGACATGACTCACACTCAATTGATGAAACATTAGACATATTAGGAACAAGTTGACGAAGCTTATTAAGGCTTGGATGACCAAATCGACTATGAAGAAGCAATGGTGTGGTAGTTGTGGCAGTGCAAACAATATTGATGTTGGCTAGATGATATAACCCTTGTGATTCATATCCTGTGTCAATCGTCTTCCTCAATTGTCGGTCCTGCACGGTCACAGATGTAGTGGAAAATATAATATCACAATTAAGATGTGAAATGAGTTTATGGACAGAGATCAAGTTGAAGGGGCAATTGGGAATATACAATACAGAGGATAATGAGAGGGAAAAGAGAGGAGAGGCATTTCCAATTCCTATAGCTTTACCTATTGACCCATCACCAAAGGTAACAGATGGAAGAGAATTGGAAAAAGTCAAGCAAGTAAAAAGTGAAGGATTACCAAAATGTGATCGGTAGCACCTGAGTCAAAAATCCAAACAGGATTGGACTGAGAGGCCAAGGAAACATGAGTTTTGTCGGGCGCAATTGAGGTTCGAGCAGCCTTTAACTGCTGGAATTCTTCATACTCAGACTGTGAGAAAACATGGGAACATTTAGCTTCATTATTGAGTTGGGCTACATTGACCGTGTTTGGTTTCCCATGTAGGTGCCAACATTGATCACGTGTGTGTCCTTGCTTGTTCCAATAATCACAAAACGTTGCATACCTCTGCCACGGCCTCCTCCTCTTCCGTGAAGACTGTCTCTTCCTCTACCTCGACCACCCCGGGAGTGAGAAACAAAAGCAGAGTTATTAGCATTGTTGTCTTCTGTGACTGAGGTCCCTTGAAGTAACCGAGTAAAAACTTCAGTAGTGTTCGGAACATTTTTCTCGCTCAAGATCTGACGTCAAACCTCTTCAAATCCTGCTCCTAGTTTGGAGAGTGTCAAGACTATCCAGAATTTTTCCCTTTGAGCTTGCTGTCTTTCAATGGATTCTTCCATTGGCATAAGGGTATTAAATTCTGTCATTAAGCCTTGAACTTTCCCTAAGAATGTTTCCATTGACATCCATAATTTTGTTATTTTTAAAATTTCATCAACAACTGAATAAAAGTGAGATATGTCATTTGTATAGAGGGACTTGGCTTGCTTCCAAACAGAAATACATGTCCTGAAAGGGCGGAACATTGGAACGATTTCCAGTGAGAGAGACTGCCATAAGATGCTGCAAAGTTGGGCATCAACACGCTTCCAGACTTCTCTTTGATACTCGTTTGAATC